TATCTATCTATCTATCTATCTATCTATCTATCTATCTATCTATCTATTTTTTCCAAATGTAGGTATCTTAATGACAAAAAGAAGACTTTAAAAATTATGTTGCTACTTGTTGAACATACAAAAGGCTAAGGACTGCCACAAGTTGTGCGTACAAGCCAGTTACCCCCAGTCCAAGCAGTTTCATTACTAAGAGCATCAGCCTGTTCTCACAATGTAGGCTGTTTTCTGTCCCATCCCTGACTGGTCATTTGCACTCCTGTAGTATCTGGGATGCTCCACAAGTCACAGGAGCAAGTGACACTTTAGTTCTTACCATGGAGTGGGTTGCTATACAAGCATTCATTTAGAAGAATGTGTGTGTGTGTATGTTTGTGTGTGTGTGTTGTATATAAGAGCATGTGCATACGTATGTGTTTACGTGTGTATGTGTAAATGTGTGTTTTGTGTATGTGTGCATGTGTGCATGCATGTGTGTGTTGTATGTGCATGAATATGTAGGTGCCCATGCCTGTATGCATGCATGCAGAGGGAACCAGAAGAAAGTGTGTATCTGTCTCTATTGCTCTGCATCTTATTCACTAGAGACAGGCTCCCACTGGATCAGATATTTTTCTTTTTGGCTGACTGGCCAATGAGCTTCTAGGATCCTTCTGTCTCCCCAGCCCTACTCACAACACCCATTACAGGGGCATCTGCAGCCATGTCCTGTTTCTTACAAGAGTGCTGTGGATTTGAAATCAGGTCCTCATGCTTACAAACCAAGCTATTTCAGCCATCTACCTGGACCCTGAAAAGCCTTTCTGAGTGAGGTTTGGGTTTGGATTCCTAGATTTCTGGCTATAGTTCTCCTGGTCTATACTACTTGTTCTTGCTTTGAGGTCTTGAACATGTGATCTGTGTGATCTGCCTGAGCTCCCTGACCCTTTGTGTCACTAACTCCTATTCATTCTTCAAAGCCTTGTCTTCAGGAATCATTGCTAATCCCTGCTACACTCCAGGGTGAATCAGGGCCTAAACTTTAGATTTTCTTTTGTGGTTAGACTCAAAAGAATCATAATTTCTGTTCTCTCTTTTTTTTTTTTTAAAGACACGGTTTTGTCTGAGTAGCCTTGGCTATTGTGGAACTCACTTTGTAGACCAGGCTGGCCTTGAACTCGTAGATCCTGCCTCTGCCTCTGGAGTGTTAGGATAAAAAGCATGCCTCCACCATCAGGCCTAAAGCTTAAACAAAACAAAACAAAACAGAAAGACCAACTTATTATTATTTGAGTGTAGGATGTATGTGTGCAGGCCTGCAGACCAGGGCACATGGAGACCAGAGGGCAACTTTCAGGATCAGCTCTCTCTGCCCCCTTTGTGTGTTCATCGGGTTCATGCAGCAGATGCTTGGCTTGCTGAGCCATCCTGCTAGCTGGATAAGGTTTTAGTTCTTCATCCTCAGCACCTAGCACAGCGCCTGCCACGAAGCCCTTGATTTTCTTAACTGGAGAAGAACCTGGGGCATTACTCACATGGGGGAACGTCCTTCTCATCCCTCAGAATCTCAATCCACTGCCCGAGGAAGAGCCCTGGACGCAAAGCTTCCCAGCGCTCCCTGCCCTTTCACGAGAAAGGTTTCTGTCTAGTGCTTACAGCATTCCCACGGAGCTCCTTGTTGGTGATTCCCTCACTGCTATTGTGGCTTCTGTCACTGCAGTATCCATGGGAGCAATCACATCAAAAGCGCTCACATATGAGATTGCCTTTGACCCAGTGGCTTCCCTTTGAGTCATTTATACTAAGAGACTAATGAAGATAATGAAACAATAATTAAACAGATTTACCCACATGAATGGTAACTAAAGCCATGTTTGCCAAAGTTAAAAAAATCTAAATGTCTTACAAAGAGAATTCTGGTTTGGATAATTGCATTGACTATCCAAAAGTTTCCATGAAGTAATTAAAAATTAAACTGTAGGAATAGGTTTATTTATATGTTAGTTATTAATAATCTACTGTTGGCTTTTATAATCGAGCTACAATACAGAATTATAGTATTGTATTACTTTTCTATAAAATGGGTGTGGTGTGTATAGAAGAAAATCTCAGATACTGAACAACTATTTACTAAGCAGTGTTTTCCAAGTGCTTGCAGGTTTTCTGGGTTTTCTAGTAGCACATGAATCACATTGCTAACAATCTTCTAATGACAAGAAAAGTTTGAATAGCTTGGAGTAGATTTTATTTAAACCCTCTAGGCCCAGCTCCATTCACAGGCATATATATTTTTGAACAGAGAAACAAAAAAGAAAACAATCACGTATTAAATCTCACTATTTCACTAGGCGTGTGCTTTCTACATGGTCTTGTGTAAATATGAATGTATTGTTTATATTTTTAACTTGTTTTTCCTCTTAACTTACAATTTTACTTCTTTGTTTGATATTCATGAATGCCTGGGGTGGCAGGGGATGTGCATATGACTGGGTGGGATGGTCAGAGGGCAGTCTGGGGCAGACAGTTCTTTCTGTGGTAGATTCTGGAGACTAAACTCAGGCGGTCAGGCTTGGCAGTATCACTTTTACCCACTGGGCAATCGCACCAGCCTCTATATTTTCACTGATAATAAAACTGATATCATGGGGGAGAAACACCCGTACCTGAAGTCACACAGCTAGTCATAAATTCTATCCAACAAGCAGCCCATCTGTAAATGCGGTCCCGGCAGAGCATCCCTCCAGATACCCTGCTCCCACCTGGGAGCCTCCCGTCTGGCCAGCACCAGCACTGATAAGGGTGAAAACAAGCCAACCCCCGAGTTCATCGTCTTCTGATGTGAGCCCACCAGAGGCCAGTGATCCTCGCATCCAGGGAATCAGATCAAAACCTTGGGGAGTTTGCCCTGGAGTTAAAGGATAATTGTGTATTTGCCTGGGGATTGACCCAACAGGGCCCTTGCTGACCAAGAACAACAAACACCGTGTACTGGCTGGGAGGCACACAAGGTTGGGGATTTGGGGGTTCACTGACTCCATGGCTAGATATGGACTCTTAGATGTCTGATTCCTCGGGACTTTGGCTGTGTCATTTCAAGAAAGCAAGTTGTGGTCTACAGAATCTCTGAGGGGTTGTCAATCTCTAACCAATGTGGATCATATTACAGGTATGAAGTCAGAAGGCTGGACGCATACATTTCTAGTGTCCCAAGGGCCTCCTGCCACCAGCCTTCAGAGGGATGGAGATGTTCTTAAACCCAAGAGGAGGAAACTGGTTCTCAGAAAGAACTAATTTCTCAGACTTTTGAGCAGCTTCCTTCATGGAACCTCGATCTCTCCCCACCACCAAGCATCTTTAAATCATGATGCATCTATCTCTGTTTCCCGGGATAGGTAGGAAGGGTTAATTGATACTTTCTCTGACAGAGGGGCTGAAGGCTGGCCCATTGCCTTCCGAGGGCAGAATCATGGGGGATCTTCTCAGCTCAGTCACGGGGCCCTTAGTCTGACTCAGGGGTTGGAATGCCCGACAGAGGCATTTCTTTCCATTTTAATTTCTTTCTATGTTTAATATGTATGGATGTTTTGTCCACACATATGTCTGTGTGCCGTGTGTATGCAGTGCTCATGGAGGCCAGGACAGGGCATCAGATCCCCTCGAACTGGAGTTACAGGTGGCTATTAGCCACCATGTGGGTGTTGGGACTTGTACCCAGGCCCTCTGGAAGACAGCCTGTGCCCTTAGCCCCTGAGCCATCTCTCCATCTCCAGAAAGGAGCATTTCTTGATACTTATTCTTGACTTATTTTCCCTAAAAGCAACCGAGTTTTGCAGAGCACTGTCTTCAATCACAGGCCTCTTAGAGACCCTAGTCTTCATGTGCCCTGAGACTCTGGACCTCCACGGATGTCTCAGCTGTGAAGGAGAGTGAAGGAGATTAAACACATTTCGTGAACCTGGAGAAGTAGGAAGGTCGCAACTTCAAAAAGGAAAAAAAGTGTCTCAGTTTCCCCCTAACTAAAAGTTCCTGGGTAGGGGTGAGAAAGTGTAGCAGACTTTCTCGTCAGACTATCTTTGGACTGCCAGCCTGCTAATAATGATCTGGAGACTTATTTTGAATTATGAAAGCTAGGCCTTAGTTTAGGCCTTTTCCCAACTAGCTCTTACATCTGAATTAACCCATATTTTTTTAATCTACATTCTGCCACGTGGCCGGCCCAGTTACCTCTTCTTAGTCTGGCACATCCGAATTGCTCTGCGAGTGAAATTGCGTGCCTAGAATCCTCCTCTCAGTTTCTCTCTCTCTCTGCCTTAAAGTTCTGCCTATTCTCTCATTCCGAGCTATTGGTCATTTAGCTCTTTATTAAACCAATTAGAAGGCTCCTTATGCAGAGACACATCTTTACAGTATAAACAAATATTCTACAAGGAAGGGCAGGTAAGGCAATGAGCTCACTCACTCTGTCTAGGTCTATAGTAGAAATCTCCTATTTTGCATCTTGTCTGTCAACCTACCCTAGGTTGTCACCTTATGTCTTCCCATCCATACTTACTCTTGTCTCTCCTCTGTGTTCTGGTAGCATAGCACAAACATGCGCATGCGCACGCGCACACGCGCGCGCGTGCGCACACACACACACACACACACACACACACACACAAAATTTGAACTAAATCTGTGTGGATCAGCAGTTAAGAACAAATAAGTCAGAGAACCAGAGTTCCATTCCTAGCACCTGCATCGGGCAGCTTGTAACTCCATGTAACTCCAGTTCTAGGAGGTCTGGTGCCCTCTTCTGGCCTCCATGGGCACTGCATTCACACACACACACACACACAACACACACACACTACAAAAATCAAAGAGAGTTATCTACGAGGTGATACTGTAGGGAACCTATCCTACAGCAAGCTTTTGCTTACTGTGTTTACACTCACTGATGATTCTTGTCTGCTTGGCTATTACAATAGTGGCTGCAAAATGATGCCTTTAAAAGCCATTGACTATATAAGGACCAATGGGTCACTATTTTTTCAGTTCACTATAATAGATTACTGTCATTACTTTTATGCTCAGGTTGTCTAAGAGTTGACCCCAGCTTCCCTGAAAGTGCTTTCTTTTACAGAGAGTCACTCGTTGAGTTCCTCCCTTCTTTCTGTACCAAGTCAGCTTCCACTCTTCATTCCCCTGGAATCAACCATGCCAAAGAGCCTGGGTGTCTAATAAAGACTGGGATTGAGCTGGGCATGGTGATGAATGCCTTGAATCCCAGCACACGAAAGGCAGAGGCAGCCAGATCTCTGTGAGTTCGAGGTCAGCCTGGTCTACAAAGCGAGTTCTAGGACAGCCAAGGCTGTGTAGAGAAACCTTATCTCAAATAAATAAATAAATAAATACCCTTAGAATTAAAAACCAGGTTCGGGTCTGGATAGACTTGATGGAATGAAGTCTCCTTGCTTGTAGGCCTTTTCAGCTGACATAGTAGGAAAGATGAATCATTTCAGAAGGGTCTGTGTCAATATCTGAATTCACTAGATGCCTCTAGTGCCAAACCAAAGCCCCAGCGTTTCCTTGTCTCCTGTCACATTCTTGGTCCCCAGTGCAGTTTTTCAGTATCGCAACACATGAACTAGTTTTCAGAACTGCTATACCATTCTACTTCATTCTTACTTTTCAAAGACAAAGAACTACATTCAAAAAGAGCTGGGTCAGTAGGGCGAGTTGTATTTTTCCTCCCTTTGCTCTGTTCAGTATTCATCCGAAGTACAAGCTCACTCTTTCTCATTTGGATTAATTTTCTTATCGTCCCCCACTCAGTTTTATTTATTGATTTTACAGTTCTGGATGTGGAAAACAATAGCAGTGTCCTGAAATTCAAAACTGTACAAAACGGAATACTCTGAAAATACTGATATTTTGCGGGATTGATTTCGTTTATTTGTGCTTCGAGTTTTCTTTGAATCCCTGCTGGGAATACCCCACTCCAGTAGGATTTGTTGGGATTTCCACAGACATACCTGCCCTATGCTCTACTTGGTCCTTACCGTGCGCCTGCATTCCTTCATTCCCCAAAGAAGCAAGTGAGCTGAGCATCCACCGGAAGTGTGCCAGAGCTGGAGTCTTCCGTGGGAACCGGGGCTGAAGTCAGGCCCTGCCTCCACCGCCTTCCCAGCTGTTGTCATACGTATTAGAAAGGACACCTGCTATATGGTGACGCAACCATCAAATGGGATCATGAGACCTTCGACACAGTCTGACTCCTGGCCGCTCCTTGTGAGTACCTGCCCTTACTTGTGCCTAGCACGCGGCCGCCAGGCTTTCCGGGTCAGTGTTTGTACAGTACTGGTAATGGTGGGTTTCAGCAATAAAGCCACCTCCTGAGTGAGAGCTATGGGAACCAGCTTCTCTGAGGGTGGAGAAGGACATCTGTGAGGCAGCCACACCCTCTGGGTGAGGCACACTGGGAAAATCCCTGGTGGGAGCAAAGGGCTGGGTGGCTCCTTAGAAAGACACGAAACCTAATTAGGACCTATTCTCTCTAAGACCTTGCCTCTAATTTGTATTCAGGGTGTATGCCAGCCCTGAAACCCAGCTGAGCAGTGTATTGTTCCCCGGCTTCTGAAGCCATGGCCGCGCTCTATTCGCAGGATATAAAAAGGCAATCAGTGGGAGAACCTGTCAGCAGCTCTCCAGCTCAATTGGGAACACCAGGAGAGGATCCCTCAGTTTGGAAATAGGCTTCCAGTTTATACATCACCTGCTCGAGTGAGTTGGTGCCCTGGCCTAAGGGACACCCCGACCCCAGTCCTCAGAAAAGCTTGGCTGCAAGGGCTCCAAGACTGAGCCCCCATCCAGTGTGGCTTCCCCTGTGAAGACATCGGATCAGCAGGACTGTGAGTACCCAATGTGGGTGGGCAGACGTCCTCCCTGCCCTTTCCTTCCTGTTTAGAGTCTTTTCGGTGAAGTTCAGAGGTCAAGCCCATAGCCTCGCTCTGTTTCTCACTGGTCCTCACACCCAGCTTAGGTGGTGTGGAGAACGCTTTCTGGGTTCCCATTGGCGAGCACAGAACTGGAATTAAACCTGTGCCTGTTTGAACCGGCGTCTATGCTGTTGGCCTCTCTACAACAAGGATTTTGACGGGAAATGTCACTTGCCACGCAGCAGGAAGGCTTTCCCTGAGAACACTGTCAATAGGAAAATGTGCTTGAAACAGCCTAACTTTTCCATAAACTGCTTCAACGTGATTAAAGTTAGAGAGAGACAAGTTCTAGGAGGAGGGACCTGAGACAGAATGGCAAGAGGGGGCCTTGGACTGGGTCAGTTGGGAGCAATAATTAGCGTGTAGTTTCTAGAAAGCGAGTTGAGACAGATTAGGCAAAGCGCAGCAAAGACACCCATGCGCACGACTTTAAATCTCGATTCCACATTGGAATAAACACACGTTGTGTTTGTCTTTCTGGGTCTGACTTGGTTTGCTTCTCATACTGATTCCCATTTGGATCCGTCTTCCTGTAGATACCGTGATCCATTTCTTTCTTTAATTTCCCACGTGTGGCCATTCCTGGGTAGATATCAGCAGATATATTTTCACCCCAGATTGCACATCAAGGACAGACCAAAGAAACCATTTTACCCGAGTCTGCCTTGGTGAGCCGTGAACTCAGTATACACGGGTGCGGAGTCACTCACTAAAGCATGACCGGCTGGAAGGCAGCTGCAGCCCTGAAAAGTATACCCCCAGCTGGAGTGACTGTCACTGGTGGTGGCCACCCTGTTTCTTGCAGTAACCCGAGGAGTTCCCTTGATCTTTTAGAGTTCAAGTTCCCCTTGAATCAGGTAGAACCAGATCCTTGGCTTTGACGCAGAAAAGAATTTCAGAGTAAGCCGGCGTGAAGCAGGCAGGATTTGATAGAGATATTTCATATGGTTTTTAAAGACAAAGGTTAATCGGAAAGGCTCGAGAAGAAAGCAAGACATGCCTCAGAGAGCGAGTGCTTCGCTGTTTTAGCAATAGTCTTACATACGACTGTCGACAGAGAGGCTACTGTCTTCACGGGGTGGCTAAAGAGCCACCGTGAGGTCAAGGGGCAGTTCCTGGGGGACACTGGACAGGATGACAACTGACGAAGTAAAAGTCTACGTGACAGCTGAAGGAAGGAGAGATGTTATTCCTATAAATAACGTGAACCTTCCAGAGTAGGCCAACCAACCTCTGGTACATTGCTATTTTGACAGAAAAGAAATATTCTCTGTGTCAGCAACCTTCACAGCAAGAGTTAATTGTGTTGAAATTCTTGCTTCCTGGTTGGTGAGAGGTCTCAGCCAGATACCAGCCTGAGGGCTCCCTTTCTTCTCCGTGGCCTATCACTTGTCCTTTCTAATCTGGGTCACAAAAGTTGCATCATTTCCTCTCAGAAACTGAACAAGCATCATTCCAGAGTCTCCTCTGAGCTTAGCAATTACTGTGGAGAGCGGCCTTGTGAGTCTTGTAACTTTGGGAACTTCCTAAGCCTCTCTTAAGTTTCCTGGGCCTTAGAAGCCTCCCTTCAAATTCCAGCAGAGAGGGTTGACAGTGTAAGGAAATGGTAACACAACATTGCCCTGACCTTATCCCTGGCGCATCCTCCCCACTTCACCCATCAGGCACACTCTGGGCCGTGGCTCCCATCTCTGGCCGGATGCCGCTCTTGCGGAAGGTCTCCCAGGAGATTTCTAGTATTGAGTCCTTAAGAACAGGAACTCAGTTGTTATAATCCCACTGTAAGCCATGGGCAGACCTTCTAACCTTTCCTACACAATAGGAACCATTGTACCATCTAAATCCTTGCATCAGAAGAAATACAGTATTTAGTGTGGGGCTGGGCGTATTATAAGAACACATCAGCATTACCTTTATCCAGCCCTGGCCCTTCACCCACAGGGGGAGGAGCCGTTCGTTCGGTGTTTGTGGAAGGAAGGAACAATAAGGTGGGAAGGAGAGAGAAAGGAGAAGATCAATGAGCTCTGGAGACCACCTTGCTAGGGCAAATAGCCTGGCCTCTTCCCTATGCCACTCCTCCCAGGGCTCCTGTAAGCTGTAAGCTGGAAAGAGGTCAGGCTCAGGTGTACTGGAACCTGCAGTCCAGACGGTGGTAAACAAGCTTTCTCCTGATGACTGTGAGCAGCAGCCCCTGGAGGAGGAATGGCATTCAGTGCAGGGAGAGGCCAGACGCCATCCCATGGGAGCTAAAGATCCTTAGCAATTGCATGGTTCAAAGGCCTGCATAGATGAGGAAACTGAGCTTTAAAAAGATTATATCACTGGGGCCTAGTGCACACTGAATCTCTGTTGAACTTCGGAATTTGAATATCTGATTTTTGAATTGATAAAGGAAGACTTTAGCACATTTAAACTTTAATTATTTAATAAATTATTTAATTATTTAATAATTTTTTTAATTTATTGATTTATGAGTCCAGGATTGTGAAAGGGTACACTTGTAAAATGTAATATGTAGTTACAGAAACAAGAGAAGCAAAATGAATTCTTTTTTGCCTACACAACATATCCTATCCATTTTATTTGTTGATGGGCATCCAGGTTATTCGTTGGCTGCACAAGCAAAATGCAGTTTTATTGGCTAGAGTAGAAAGCTCCTGCCTAGGGTCAGCTTCTAGTTGGTTTCTAGTCTCAGAGTTTACCCTGGGCTTTGCTTGGCATTTGTTTTGTTTTGTTTTGTTTTGTTGGGATTTAGATTCTAGAGCCTCTCCAGTCTAATAACCTTCCAATTGGTGCTGCTTTTTTAAAAAGCAACTATTTCTGGTTGCAATGCCCATTTCCTCGTGTTATTCCCATTTGAAAGCACAACGCAGAGCCCATTTCTGAAGAACTATGAACTCTGGATTTGGCTTTGTCAATCCATCTTTTCTAACAACTTGTTTACTTAAAAAATAATTGGTGGGTTCTGCATTGTGCTGTCATGGTCCATCCTGTGCTGCTGTCCCAGAATCCTGCTCACCATCCTGGAGACTGGGATGGCCCCTGGGGACAACCTTCTTGCTATGTCACGCTGCAGCGTAAGGCGAGAGAAGAACTCTCAGCATAACAAACTCACCCGCCATGGACATTTTCCTCTCATGGGGACAGAGCCCCTGGGACTTAATCTCCCCTGTAAAGGTACACCTCTCCACTGCTTTCATAGGTGATCACTTTTCCACCCTCTGAGCCTCGGGGACGTGCTCAAGCCGCGTGAGTCTTAACTACCTCTTGGTGCCAAACAGCCTAACTCAATTCCCGGCATTGTGCGGTTGCACAATAGGAACTTGTGAGTTACGGGAAGCAGCATTATGCAACGTCTAGCCACGTGCCAGCCACTGTTCTCGCCTTCTGCACGAATGCTTTCTGATGCAGGGCCATGATTAGCACATTTGACAGCTGTGGCAGCCTGGCTTCCAGCAGGTAAGTCGCTCCCCACCTCGGTTGGTTGGTTATTCGAAGCGTAGAGTTCAGTCAGTGCTCTAATCAACGGTGTGATGAAAAGAATACTTTTACGCTTGTTTGTGTGCGTGGGGGTAATGCATGCGCCACATGCATGCTCTCTCGTGTAGGTCAGAGAACAACCTTTAGAAGTCAGTTCTCGCCTTCCACCATGAGGGTCCCGGGAATTGAACTCAAGTCACTGGGCTTGGCAGAATGCACCTTTACTGACTGAGCCATCTCACTAGACTTGATGAAAAAAAAAAAGTCTAAAAGAGAAGGTTTCTAGGCTGGTTCCTGTCTTGATTCAGTCAGGATTTTTACCCTTTCTGAGCCCAGGCTTTCTCACCAGATTGGACTTCTAAAGCTGTCTTGAGAGTTTCCAGCGAGTGTCTGTCCATACCACGACTGAGTGAAGTAACAAAATGCTGTCACCTGGTTGGCTGTGAGTGGCTCTCAAATGAGAGAAAAAAATCTTTCTGCTCAACTGTGAAACAATTAAATTTATCACAGTAAATGTAAGTTATTTAGCAATTTATCATAAAATTAAAATTTTCTAAGTAGCAATAATGTTGGTTAAAAGCATGTCAGTATATTATATTTAGGTTCTGTATGAAACCAAAGTTTTTGCTGAGTTTAGATACTATAGTGGCTTTCACGGCCTTCTTTTGCTTAGGTCACTATCGTCAGCCACAGTGTACCACATGCTGGATTCCCATCCAGACTAGAGGGACTTTTCTCCCATCTACTTGGAAGATCTTGCTCCCTGTTAAAATCTGTGGTCCCTCTCAGCAGGTTTCCATGAGAAAGCTTCCCAGACTGGCAATCTCTATTTATGAACACAAGACATTCCCAAAACATGTTTGTGGATTAGAAGTGTACACTACTCAGAAAAGCTTTTGCATGCTCTAGGAGTTGCAGAGAGCCATGTTTGAAATAGTGCTGGCCCCAAAGCTTTGGAGTCTTTGAGATACTCTGTGTATTGAGGGTCTGCCACATGGGCATTAGTGGGGGCAGCAGTACCTCCACCTGTCTGAGCTCAGAAAGCCTGGGCAGGGGTGGAGGTGGAGGCAGGGACTGAGGGGTTGCTCATCTTAGGGAAGGCTTTCAGAGTCTGCTTAACCTGCAGGCTCCCTTCCTGACTCAGGCCTTTGCTTTCATGGTAACTTCTGCTGGGGTGTGTGTGTGTGTGTGTGTGTGA